AAATAAGAAGATAGTAAAATCCATTTATTGTGATATAAAAACATTATTATTATCGTTCTAAATAAATGACCGCACGCCTATGATACGTCATGAAATTACAAAGGACGCGCCGACCAAAGGTTTTTATGCTATTTCAAGTGACTTCAGATAAAGTATACACATATAGAAATCCTGAAAACAAACCGCCATGGAGATGAGTATATCAACCGAAAAGGGAAACCTACTTTAAATGTGCAAGCCACTTATGATGCCAGAGAGATTTTCACAAGTATTGTTGTCATTTGGCCTGGATCAGAGCATGATTCCAGAACATGGAGAAATTCACAGACTAGATCACAACTAATAAATAAAGCATATGTTGTACTACTTGGCGATGACGGTTATGGTATTAAGCCATACCTCATAATTCCCTTCAGAAATTCCACTCCAGGTGCAGAAATAAATTGTAATAAGCTTTTAAAACAAGAAAGAATTATAATTGAACGCTGTTTCGGCCAAGTGAAACGCCGGTTTCATATCCTACAGTATGTTTGCCGCGTAAAGTTGGAAAATGTGCCGAAAATAATTATTGCTTGTATTGTACTCCATAATGTTGCGAAAAGCTTGGGCGATCCTGACTTTCAAGTTAGTTGTTGATGAAGGAAATCATGAGAATGAGGAACTTCCTCTCCGCCAACTAGGTCAACAAATAAGAAGAAACTTGAGTATTATAATAAATAGTTTCACTGATTAAAGTGTATTTATAAGTTATAATAATTTTATTTTCGTGAACATCGCAATTTACAGGTGGCTTCTGACGCTGCATCATTTCTAATTTCGTTTGTTGTAAAATACTTGTTTGGTATTGCTGTAATACCACTAGACGTTGCAGTTCTTTTGTAGTTAACGCTTTGGTTTTCTCAGTTTTGTATTTCTCGGTTGCTAATTTTCTTTTTGGTAGTAATATCTTCAGAATTGCTGGCGCTGTAATACTAACTGTTTGCTCACTGCGCTCGGTATACAGGGTGTCCCAGAAGTCGACGTCAAGCCGAAACCGGGTGATAGGCAAAGTCATAACAGCTATCAGAAAAATATTTAAAAAAATTTTATGTATGTGTTTTGAAAATTATAGATCTTTGAAAAAAACGCACAATGACCCTTAAGGATAACTGTTTGCACAAGAGTGGGCGTCAAAATGCTGCTGATGATGATTTACCTTTACAGTAAATGCTCAAACTGTTTTCCTTCAGCCGCAGTACACGCTCGACATCTTCTTAAAAAAGATCGGGTTATTAATCGAGCGAATCCACGGTAATTAACAAACTCAGCTGCTTCCAATAGTCTTTGCCGTAGCTCAGCTACATTTTGACTCGGCTTGAAATACACTTTTTCTTTTACAGTTCCCCAGTAAAAAAAATCTAACGGATTCAAATCTGGTGACCGGGCTGGCCACGGTATTGTACCAGACCGCCCTTTCCATCTGCCTGGAAAGGTTTGATCGAGATACTCTCTCACTGAGAGTGCATAGTGTGCTGGGCAGCCATCATGCTGAAACCACATGTCCCTGTAAATACTCAGTGGCACGTCCTCCAATAAATTTTCTAAATGTTTTGCAAAAAACCTAAATAAACCTCAGCAGTCAAAGTCTCTGGGAACTCAAACGGACCGATTATTTTACCATTTAAAATTCCTGACCAATGGTTTATCTTGAAGCGAAATTGAGATTTATCTTCTCTCATCAAATGTGGGTTTGCTACGTGCCACTCGTGTAAGTTATGCAGGTTCATGTACCCATCTTTCTTAAATGTGGTCTCATCTGACCATAACATTTTTTTAAAGAACCGTGGATCTTCCCTGTGTCTTTCTAAGATTGTGCGACAAAAAGCAACTCGGGGCTCATAATCCCGGGGCAGAAGAGCTTCTACACGCTGTACGTGGTATGGATGGAGCACGTTTTTTTGCAAGATTCTATGGGCTGTACTTTTGGGCACACATGTTTTTAGTTCTATTGCACGCACTGAAGTACTCGGGTCTTCTTCGACAGCTCCTAGCACCACGTCTTCGTAAGGAAGGAAATATCTTCCCTCACCGTGTGATTGGTTTGGTAGTTGGCCCTCTGAGAACAGTAAGCGGTGCACATTTGTGAACACTCGATGGTCTGGATGACGAGCTGCATTCGGGTACCTCTCACAGTAGTCTCGCTGCAGCACTAGAGTTGCATCTGCCTTCCCCATAAATGAGGTGCATGTTAGCATATTCTTGTACGGTGTACACGGACCTAGCGGCACTGTACAATCACACTATCAAAGATAGTCTAAGGAAAGCAAATGTTGTTTTGAAGAGCAATTAAACAGTCCAAATCCAAATCACAAGCGATCAACAGTCCAGTTCACGAATCCAAAATTAGTAACAGTACGAAATCAACAAGCACGAACATCTAAAGATGCGCAGTAAACGAGGGAGTACTGATCGGTATCAAAGTGTGCAATAGCAAGTAAGTGATGTGCTTCATCCATACCACATACAGCGTGTTCAACCTCTCCTGCCCCTGTTTATGAGCCCCGAGTTGCTTTTTGTCGCACAATGTGACACAGGAAAGATCCACAGTTCTTTGAAAAAAATTTATGGTCGGATGAGACCACATTTAAGAAAGATGGGTACATGAACCTGCATAACATACACGAGTGGCACGTAGCAAACCCACATTTGATGAGAGAAGATAAATCTCAATATCGCTTCAAGATAAACCATTGGACAGGAATTTTAACTGGTAAAATAATCGGTCCGTTTGAGTTCCCAGAGACTTTGACTGCTGAAGTTTATTTGGATTTTTTGAAAAATCATGTACAAAATTTATTGGTGGACGTACCACTGAGTATTTACAGCGACATGTGGTTTCAGCATGATGGCTGCCCAGCGCATTATGCACTCTCAGTGAGAGAGTATCTCGATCAAAACTTTCCAGGCAGATGGATAAGGCGGTCTGGTACAATACCGTGGCCAGCCCGATCACCTGATTTGAATCCTTTAAATTTTTTTACTGGGGAACTGTAAAAGAAAAAGTGTATTTCAAGCCGATTCAAAATGTAGCTGAGCTACAGCAAAGACTATTGGAAGCAGCTGAGTTTGTTAATAACCGTGGATTCGCTCGTTTAATAACGCGATCTTTTTTAAGAAGATGTCGAGCGTGTATTGCGGCTGAAGGAAAACAGTTTGAGCATTTGCTGTAAAGGTAAATCATCATCAGCAGCATTTTGACGCCCACTGTTGTGCAAACAGTTATCCTTAAGGGTCGTTGTGCGTTTTCATAATCGCTGTTTAATTAGGAAATTTTGAAAAATTTTCATCAGTTTTTTTTTCAAATAAAAATTGTGCATAAGTTAACGACTAATCTTCTAAGAGTTATACCATTTTGGAATCGTTATTAAATGCGCCAACTTTTAAGGTTACTTGCCAAACTCTCGTAGTACATTTTTTTCCAGTACAGCCAGTTAAAGTTGAGCAAAGTTTTACTTTGGAAGTTTGAAGATGCATTATTCATTATTACATTGTAAAAATAAAATTCAAAAAAAGTTAATATCTGTAGTAACAGGAGTTGACAGACTGCCGTATGGTGTGAAATATCTATATCTTTTTCAAAGACCTATAATTTTCAAAACACATACATAAAATGTTTTTAAATATTTTTCTGATAGCTGTTATGACTTTGCCTATCACCCGGTTTCGGCTTGACGTCGATTTATGGGACACCCTGTATAGTTCACTTCCTTCTTCTTGAACATTACCAACCTGAATGGCACCTCTAATTTTCTCAATTGTAGGATTACAGTCACCTTCCATAGCTTTCAGCAACTTTCCTTCCCAATCTAACAATTTAATTGCTTTATTACCAGTTTTTTTAGATCTGTTTTTTTATTCAATCTTGATTTCATGTTGTTGATTTTTTTAATAAAAATAATGGGAGCAATGGCAATCTCATCTGCGATGAACTGCAGGTCGTTGCCATGATTTTCTATAGTTTCCTCATCACTTGAGGATGACATGCTTATTAATGTGATAAAAAACTGTATCCAGTAAAAATACGGAACGGTCTGTGTAAGCTCTGGAGTACAACTGTGAGTGATGCTCAGTGAACGAACAAGTCAACTACAAGCTGGAACAAGCCAGAACATGTCGCTCAAGATACAAATACCAGTCAACCTTTTATTTCTTCTTGGAGGATATCCTCGCGAGTATAAGGTAATCATTATGAATATGAAAACAAAGATATGCTTATACTTCTACCCTTTTCTCCTAAGCAAGACCTTATACTTCTACCTTATGCTTCCGAGGATATGCTTGTTTTTTATAAATACGGCTCATTATTGCGTTTGTAAATACTTAAACATTACGCTAAGCTTAATAGGTAATGGTTGTATATCCGTGAAACATAAAAACAGTTTTTATGCTGCATGTCGCGGTTTATTGTTCAGGTTTTTGTTGTTGTTCTATAACTAAGCTTATCTGTCTGGAAAATATATGCGTGTTTTTGCTTAAACAAAGAGCAAAGTGATAAATTCCCACTGTTAGCAAAGCTTTCCATACACATGACAAAACTAACGGTTTCGTGTGTTTGCCTTGAACTTGCGCAATCCGCAATCTACTTGATTAATTGTCCGTTCGAAGTTGATGATCTTGAGTGTGATTTTTTCAATTATTTCAACGAATCATCGGCAACCATGAACTTCACCGCAATAAGTGTTCAGATTGCCATTAATGTGTAAGCGTTTTAACAACGAAATGCGACGTTAATTAATTGTATGCAGTTCGTGTGATGCTTTATATTTTCCTGGAATCTATTCACAATAGTTGTTATAACATGACTGGAAAGTTGAGTCAAATATTTCCCGTGCGTTAAACATATCTAGGTACTCCTGAATACATATATTTCTGAAAAATGGAGAAATTATTCATAACATCAATTTTGTTGGTATGGACTTTTTCAACCATTTATATGGTGGGGTTTAAAACTGGTTGACGTAATGTGTACGAAGAGAAGCGCGAGAAGCGTGCAATATACAGGGTATTCCTTAATGACATGCAAATATTCAAGGATGTGAATCTATATGAAAAATTAATGTTAGTTTGCTTTATAAACTACGGTTCAAAAATGTTTCCTTAAAAAAACTCGGGGTATTGAGGTTGTAGAAAAAAAATGAAAATTAATTAATATTTTCAGAACCGCTGCAGATATTTCACTGATATTTAGTACGTAATGAAAGTTACTAAAGTCGCATATTTTTCAATGCAAAAATAATTTGTTCTAAATTGAACGGGGTATTCAAAAATAATAATAATATGTCACTGGCTTTTGACATCTGACAACTCTTAGTTATGCAAATCTGTTCGCTGTGACATCTTTTTCATTATTTAGTTTTTACAATCTTGTTAATAATCGTGAATTATTCAAATGCAGAAATGGCGGAAAGCCATTACGTACGAGGGGTGTCTTTTAAGTTTTGCATATAGAAACATAGTAGGCCGCGCGGATCGAACGCCAGAATTGAATGTTAACCTCACTCTTTAGTAAACTTAAATTCAACGTTTCACAACAATATGTGCAGTCAAAAAAGTCGATGTTGCGCGCAAACTCATCATTGAAGATAGACATGTGACATACCGCGAGATTGAGGCGTCCTTGAAGATCTCAAAGATCTCAATTCAAAAAATTTTACATGAAGAATTAGGAGTAAGAGAATTAGTTTCTCGTTGGATACCCCACCTGTTGACTGAAGAGCAGAAAGCAGCCAGGGTTAATTGGTGTCAAAAAACGCTTGACCATTCCAATTCCGAAAACTCAAAAAATGTGTACCGCATTTTTAGTGGTGATGAATCATGGATTTACTGTCATGAACCAGAAAATAAACGACAGTCGGCTGTTTGGGTGTTTCCAAGGTGGGAAAAGCCAACAAAAGTCATCCGTTCTCGAAGTGTTTCGAAAAAGATGGTCGCGACATTTGTGTCAAAAGCGGGTCATATTGCAACAATTCCTCTTACTGAGCAAATAACTGATACTACGGATTGGTATACCACCATTTGTTTGCCAAAAGTCATCACCGAGCTTCGAAAAATCAACCCCGAAAGAAGAATCATCTTCCACCAAGACAATGCAAGCTCGCACACAGCCCAAAAAACAAGGCAGTATTTAACGGAAGAAAACGTGGAATTATTGGACCATCCTCCATATAGTCACGATCTAAGTCCTAACGATTTCTTTACTTTCCCGAAAACTGAAAACAGACTGTGTGGTCAGGTTCCAGTCACCAGAAGAAGCAGTTGACGCATTCAACAATGCCGTTTTGGATCTTTCAGCAAACGAGTGAAATAAGTGCTTCGAAAATTGGTTCGAGCGCATGCAGATGTGTATTAATCTTCGTGGAGAATACTTCGAAAAACAATAAACTCATTCAAAACTACCTACCTTATTTCCATATGCAAAACTTAAAAGACATCCCTCGTATATGGCCTTGCCGATGGTAATGGTGACCAAGCCAGAGATATCCCGATCGTGCTTTGCCAGATAGTCGAACCTTTTTTAATATTCGTCGTTGTCTGGTTGAAACTGGTTCTGTCCGAAAAGGAACATCTGAAGGTAGACCTCTAAATGTGAGAACACCTGAAATTGAGGAAGCAGTGCTGCACGAAGTCGAAAGAACATCCTCAAACGAGTACAAGGAAGACACTTAAATATTTGCCATCAAATTGTTTGGAGACTTTTAGTGGATTTTTTGTTATATACTTACCATATTTTAAGAGTACAGGCATTACTTCCCATTGACTTTCCAAGACGTGATTTGTCAGTGGTATCTTCAAAAAATTACACCAAATCCGCAGTTTGAATGAATGATTCTGTTCACGGACGAGGCTAATTTTTTTCGAAATACCATTCACAATTTCCACAATAATAAAGAAAATCCCTATGCCGTAACCGAAACCCATTTCCAACACCAATTTTCGGTTAACGTATGGGCAGGAATTATTGGCTACCACTTTATTGGCCCATTCTTCTTGCCGGGACGACTTGACAGACATACTTACCTCAATTTTCTTCTACAACAGTTGCCTTTGCTGCTTGATGATGTTCCGTTAGCAATAAGAAACAATATGTGGTACGTGCATGATGGTGCACCAGCGCATTTCAGTGTAGCGGTTCGTAATTATTTACAAACTGTTTATCCAAATCGTTGGATTGGCCGCGGTGGGCCCCAAGAATGGACACCAAGGTCCCCAGACCTCAAGAGTTTAGGTTTATTTTTGTGGGACTATCTTAAGACACTAGTGAACACAAGTCTCATTAACACTGTAGAGGAATTAAGAGAAAGAATGGTTGCAGCTTGTGATAGAATAAAAAAACACTCCAGGGATATTTCAACGAGTGCGCAATTCCATGAGAAGGAGGGCGGAAGCATGCATACTAAGTGAAGGCGACCATTTTCAACAATTTTTGTAATCATTTCGTTGGTTTTAATGTGATGTTTATGTTGTCAGTTGTTTTCCAATTAAATTAGTAATATTTTTGCAAGTTAGACAATAGAACGGTTTTTATTTTTTTAATCAAAAATGGCGCATCGAAGGAAAACAATTCAAGAGAGATCATTTGTTTTAAATTGGACGGGGAATGAGAAGTTTTGGCTTGTTTTCATACCGGCCACACTGGGTCCTCTCTTTAACTCGAGAACACCGACGTAATCGCCTTGAGTGGTGCAGACAACGGTCACTCTGGGATCAGGAATGGAACAGTATTGTCTTTAGTGACGAGTCTCGATTGTGTTTAGGCACGCACGATGGTCGTGCCAGGGTTAAAAGGCGACGTGGTGAAAGGAGGAATCCACATTTTTTTGTTGAAAAACATGTTCATCACACTGTTGGAGTTATGGTTTGGGGTGCTATAGCTTATGGTTCCAGGTCACCTTTAATCTTCATCAGAGGTGACATGAACGCGCAGCGTTATATCCACGAAGTTCTAGAACCCCATCTTTTACCCTATCTTGACACCCTGGCAGATCCAACTTTCCAACAAGATAATGCCCGACCACATGTTGCAAGAGTCACAATAGACTTCTTTCAACATAATGATGTCACATTGTTACCATGGCCACCAAGATCTCCCGACTTATCGCACGTGTGGGATATGATGGGTAGGAGATTGCTCAATTTGCAACGGCCTTCTCAGACTCTAGAAGCACTTCGAGAGGAGTTGGTGGTTGCCTGGAATGAGATACCACAGGAGGACATTGACCACCTGATCAGAAGCATGCCTAGGCGCGTTGGAGAATGCGTAGCACATCAGGGTGCATCCACACATTATTAAAGGTCAAAGGGCTTTAAAGCAGTGTAATCATTTTGAAATTTTTATCATTTACTTATTATGCTTCATTAAGTACTTATACAAAATTTTATTAAAATAAAACCATTTAAACTGGGGGTTCGGATTTATATGTCACTTAGTATAAGATTGTCAGTGAGTCTGAGTGTCAGGCTTCTCATTGAACATGCATTTTTTATCTGGACATGTTTTTGCTTAAAACAGTGCGTTGCTTTTTTATTTTAAGTTACCTTTCTTAAATCGTATGTGACATCACATTGCAGCTGACGATAAATTTTGTTTGATTCTCACACACCTACGATTGGTAGGAATGGATGTAGTTATGTAGTGTGTATTAGTTATTAGTTTATTTAAGTTTATTAGTATGTATTAGTATTAGTAAAATAAACACATGTATGTTGTATACTTCATTTAAGTTGGCTTACATTGCTTACGACAAGGCAGCTGACTGTTCCAAAATTATAAAAGTAAACACACCACACACTTGAACGGTTGGCGACCACTGTTCTAGTATAAGCTCACTAAGAATTCTTGACTATTTTTATAATATTCAACGCTTTGAAGAAGATCTGTCCGAATATGTAATAAAATTTGGATCACTCCATTAGAGGAAATGGCAAAATCCTTCATATTTCCCAAATGAACGTCTCGTGTTTTATTGCACACTCACATAGCCTCTAAAATAACCTTCTGATGAACTTGTCGAATTATAAGCAATTCAGTATAGAAAACCGCCAAACTTGACAGCCTATCAGCCCGCCATTTTGGATGATATTGATATTCTAGGATAGGACAGCATAAGGAGCTTCAAAATGAGATATCTTATGATTCTCCATTTTATGTTAAAAATGCTGCAAGTTGGCGCGCAGCCGCCATTTAGATATTTTCAACTGTTATTTTTGCGCTATAATATGCCATTTATGCATCAATATCATCACCCAGAATGTCAACTTGCTAACCTGACGCGTTTAAAGAAAATAGGATGGGAGTTTTTTAAAAATCACCGAATACATAAAATGTGTATGAAGGTATATTATAATTTTACATTAAAAAGTATGAAAGCGAGCCTTGATTGTTGACCGTCACACACATACTCATACTTGCCACCGAGATTTTATATACAAAAGTGCGCGTAACTAACCTTGATTTACCGCTTATCCGTGCATTTAAATCGCAAAATTCTGCACATCAGAGATAATCCAGTCATAATCGAATTTTGTTTGTTTCAGATTTATTTAACATTAATACTACAATATCCATAATATCCATATTACACAGTATATCACAAAATATATGTCTTCAAGACTACATATTTTTATACAAAATTTCACTACTATGAATTCTGGTTTTCCATGAGATATTTTTTCAATTTCCTTTTTGAACATTTTCAAACTGACACACATCTTGACATCATTGCTTAATTTATTAAATTCATACAATCCCGTTTGAAATACTGACTTTCTCGTTATATTGCTACTGCAGTTTTGTAAATGAAAGTCTAAACTTCATCTGGTAGAATAAATGTGGCACTCATTGTTCAATACAATACAATTGTGATCTAAAGATTTTCTTATTAGCATATATTTGGTTTTGATTGTGTTTAGTTTAAGTTTATTTACATTTAACCAATTTATTACGTTTTTCATATCATGATTTAACAGCTCTATTGCAGTTTCAATGTCTTTATTTGATATATATATATATATACAGGGTGACTTCGAAGTTGAGTCATTTATTTTAACAGTGAGTAGATCTGATCAAAAGAAATGTTTTTTTCCTTTACCATTTTTCTGGTAAAATTAAAGTAACAAAGTTATAGCCCTTTGGAAGTTTGAGTACTGCCCTGTCTCAATAATAATATGTTCGTGTTTGGCGACAACGGATATAATCCGCCTGACCGGTTCATCGCATCGGAAACAAAAAAGCGAAAGAATTTGAAACGTTTATCACGATGTTTTTCGTCAGTCGATAACGCGTTAGTGAATAAATAGTAAGTGTTTGTTGCGTGGCTCAAACGAAATCAAAAATGGCACATGTTTACGAAAATGCTGAACTTGTGGACATGATTCTTATTTACGGGGGGGCAGTCTTTACAAAATGCTCCCGGATGCATCACGGATTTATGCGAATCGGTTTCCCAATCGAGTGCAACCAATCCCTCGTGCCTTTGTTAATGATACTTTATTAAACAAGGTAACATTTTTTTTTATTTATTTTTTTATTTTTACACACATATTTTGGTTTATCTTCCTTCTACAATCATTATCTGAAAATTAATGACTCAACTTCAAAGTCACCCTGTATTTACAGGGTGTCCGCAAAGTTGGGGTTTTCCTTTACACGACGTGTAGATCTTGAAAACATAAGCAATTTTTCTTAGTACCATATACACCAATGTCTTAAGGGAACCGAGATAAAGGGCTCTGCAACATCAAAAATATCTGAATACCGTCCTGTAGCCGCGACATCCCCGAGTGGTACTAGGACACTAGCTCAACCCGACGACAGAACTGGGTCGGGGTCAGTATGCAACGTTCAACCGACGCTTACGGTCACGCGTGTAGAGGTAATCGCGTAGACGAGAATCCCTCAACAAGCACTAGAGACGTGGCTAGAGAAGTGCAAGTATCAAAAACTAAAGTGTGGCAAACGCTGCGTGAAGAGGGGCTGTATCCGTTTCACGTCCAACGTGCAAGCCCTTCAACCTGAAGATTTTCCAGCAAGAGTGCGGTTTTGTGTGTGGTTGTTGCATCAACATGACAATAATCCGGACTTTTTGAAGTGCATATTGGTGACAGACGAATCTACGTTCACGCGTAATGGGGTGAATAACTTTCGCAACACTCATGTTTGGTCAGTAGAAAATCCGCACGCTGTCCATCGGGCACATTTTCAACAAACATTTTCGGTGAATGTTTGGGCTGGCATGGTGAACGGTATGCTCATTGGACCATTTATTCTCCCAAATCGATTGGACGGGATGCAATACCTAGACTTTTTACGCAACATTTTGCCTTCCTTGTTTGCCTGCGTCTGCTCGGTAGCGCATCAGCTGATTTCATTTTCTGTTGGAGC